CTGACACCAATTCCTCTTTCATAGAGATCACCAAGATGATAACGAGCATTCAAAAATCCTTGATCGGCCGATTTTTTGAATAATTCAAACGCTTTTGGTTCATCTTTTTCAACGCCATTACCAAATCTATAACAATTACCAAGATTATATAAAGCTTGCTTATTATTTCCCGTTGAAATAGATTTTTCATACCAATAAATGGCCTTCTCGACGTTTTTCTCTGTTCCCATACCATATTCATAACATATTCCAAGGTTATTTTGTGCTTGAACGTAACCTTTATCCGCCGAAACTTTATATAATTCGAAGGCTCTCTTTGCGTCCACTTCCACACCAATTCCATAGTCGAAACAATAGCCGAGTTGAAATGTCGCTTCAACGTCTCCAACATCCGATAGATTTTTATAAATCTCGAATGCTTTCTTTTCATCCTTCTTAAATCCGTCTCTTCCTAATCTGTAATTATGTCCAATATCAAGATAATTTTCTTTATTATTATTGAGGGCGACTTTTCCCAAGTTTGTACAAGCATGTGACGTTTGCTCTAACATGATTAAAATTTTTGGATGAGAATTATGATTTGTTGGAGTGTTATTAAGAGTGAGGTATAAAAAAAAAAAAAGGAATCAAGGATCGTAAGATAAAAATAATGTGTCGGGAGAAAAAAAAATAAAAAAATAATAAATTTTTCGGGAGTTTTTATATCTCAAAGGTTCTCTTTATGGTCCCAAATTAGAATTTGCCGATCCACCCTCCCAATACATACATGGAATTTTGTTTATTGTAAATAAAAGGAAAAATAAATTACATATTCCCCCTTTTAACTTTTGAGAATGATTTTGTTTCACGTCTTTTTTATTTCTATTTATTCTAAAAAAATGCCAAATTTTTTTTTTTATTTCAAACATACATTTAATTTGGTTTTTGTTTTTTCGAATAATGTTTGTTTATAAATTAGATAGATGAATATCGACGATTTCAAGAACCTGTTAAATGATGTCGTATATCACATGCCGCAGTTTAAGGAAATAAATAATACGCAACCTATGGGAATGATTTGCCAAAGAAAATTAGGTCCAATAAAAGACATTTAAATTTGGATGATGATTTTAATTCTATAGACATCCCATATGATTCATGTCGATAATTTCATACAATAAAACGGCCCGGAATTTAACCAATGTGGTTTTGATTTATAAAAAAAAAAAAAAAAAAAAAAAAAAAAAAGAAAAAATATAAGAACGTGATTTTAACAAACGTCCATATGATAAAAGCCATTAATCACGTAAGCCTCTTCACATGATCACACAAACTTTAAATCTTATCTTACCACGGGACATTTCAATGTCAGGAGCTTGGGAAATTTTCGGCCTAATACTACTAATTTAACAAGCAATTTTTAATGATCATGATTTTATGAATTTAATTTGTGTATCCCTTCAGTTTCATTTACGCTAATCTTTCTTTTGCAGATTCCTTCATGCCGTCAAGGGTGTGAAGTCTCTATTGAGTGTCTGAAATTGAAATTAAAATTCGACTGTGTAACAACTTTAATCTCAACCAAATTAAGATGAAAGATCCGAAGATATCTGAAATTTGATTTTTATTTCAGTTTCAAACATATCTAAGATTTAATTAGATAAATCTAAATCTCAAAATTTTAAGAAGGCATTTGATAGTTGGAATCTCAGATTTTAACAAGAAATTTAAATTTAATTTTAAAATAAATTTTTTAATATCTAAAATTTAAATTAATAAATTCCTCGAATAAATAAGGTAATGAATTAAAGCCACGAAATGTTTAACCAATTTTTTCAAAAAAATCTCTAACCGAAGATTTATAAGAATGTACATTGTTGTAAATTTTAATTGTGAATATTTAATTTAATATAACAAAAAAGATACGGGTTTAAACTTCATAAAATCCTATATTAATAATTAAAAAGATCGATTAGTAATTAAAATATATTTGAAATTCGAAATTAAGACAATAATGATGGACTAAAATCAGTTGGTTCTACCTTGAAATTCATTACCTGGTACCTCACCGATAAGAAATTTCGAAATTTCGAAATGAGATCAAAGAATTTTGTTACGTTTTTCATGAAACATGATGACTTCTCCAAAATTGCGCCTAAAATCAGATTTTAATCGTGTGAAGTTAAAAAAACTTTTTTTTTCAAATTTTGCGGTTGATCAACCAATCAGATGGGGAACTCCCGTCAAAAAAATATCTAAAAAGGAAATATAATTCCGCCCGAAGATCATGATTTTCGCTTGTAAATTGTTTCGATAATTGTAGCTAATAGGATAGGACGTCTGATATACACGTGTTGGAATTGCGTTATTATCTATCGCTTTCACCCATTTTAACCTTATTAATTTTAAATTCCGATTTTTCTTATCCTATTTTTATTTTTGTATTTTGCGTATTTTTTAGGGATTAGCCTTTATTTCAGTATCTTGACATTACGAAAAGTATAGAGCACCGACGCTGAGGCAATATTGATAATAATTACTTCATTTTTTTTTTTAATTAAAACCTTCTGCTTACAAATACAAATTGTTTAATAATTTTTTTAAAAAAAAAACCAAGAAATGAAATAATAAGAATGATTAATTACAAATAGACAAAAACTAATCAGCCAACCAAATAAATTAATAGTTATTCGGCACGAAGTGCCGAATAAATATTATTAGCTACCTTATAGTTATTCGGCTCGAAGTGCCGGATAAGTGATTTATCCGGTGTCCCGTGATTAAGCTATAATTTACTATTTTTTATTCTTTTTTTAGATCGGATAAGTTTATACCATTCTATAGTAGTGATACAGCAATTTAATCAATATTTGATGCAAGTTGAAACAATCTTAAAATAACAAATGAAAAATTCTTATTTCAGTTATTTACATTTTTATTATAACGTTATTATTATACTTGAATTTTATATTACATTTAATTTAAATTGAGTAATCCAATGGTTTTAGTAAGGTTTCGCAACTATTAAATAAAAAAATAAAAGGCATTGCAATAAATTCATTTTTCGAATTAAATACAAATAAAAAGAAAAAAAGAAATGAAAAAATAAAACTTATTATACAAATTGTTCTATATATAAGTTTTTAAATGAATTTTATTAATACAAATAATGCTTGATAAAAGTTAATAATGCCTGACAATAATTTTTTTGCCTGATAAATGATTCTTTGCCTGATAAACGATTTATTATAGTCATTATTAATTATAAAAAATCACGGGATATCGGATGATTATTTTTATTTTATTTCTTTATTTAAAGTTCTTCTCTCGGCTTTAAAATAGAATAATTACTAAAGTAACTCGTAAAGGTGGAGTACATTTCTATTTTCTTCCTGTTGTAATCAAAGAATTAAAAGAAAAAAATGTGAATGAATATACGGTATATGTATGTGTTTAACATGATCTAATTGAATGAATATGTTTTGCTTTTTCGGGTTGAGTCAATTCGGTCAGAAGTTTTTAAAAAAAAAAAAAAACCTGAAAAAAAAGAAAAATTTAAAACACACTTATTAACTGACGTAGCACCGATGCAATCGAAAAACCTGGATGAAACACAATTAAATAATAAAATATGCTAAAAAAATTTACTTAATTGAATGACGTAGCATCCAATACGATCGAAAAGCCTGAATAAAAAATAAAAAAATAAAAGAAACTTTCATTCAAACGATAACAAATAAATGAAAATAAACAAAGTTACTTATAATTTTAAAATAGAATGTCAAAAAAAAAAAAAAAATATAGAAGAAATAATCCGAAAAAATGTAAGCAAAAATAACTAAATCTAGAACATCCTTATTGTAAAAAAAAAAAAATTAATATCTGAAATTTAAAAGCTATTTAATGTTATCTTGATTTAAATATTAAAATTCAGCTAAAAAAGAAAATTTTTATTACTGAAATAATAGAAATTTTAAATAAGTTGACTGTATTTACGATATTGTAAAATCACGAGTTTCAATATTTTTGCTCGGTGGATATTAACTTATTAACGGGCTAAAGATATTTTTAACCGATTAAAATAATCATCGATCTTAATACCGTTCGAAACTAAGATATTTGTGATTACAAAATTTTCACTAGCTTTAGCTAAATTTATATTATCAGCCTTGCCTATTTTTAACCGGTAACGAATAATCAATTGATGATGAAAGAATCTTTCTCGCGATTTTTTATACATATAGTATATAAATTGGCTCTTTGCAAATTTCTAGGCTGGTAGTTCCGTCAATTTACAGCATTTGTGGCAGGAACAAAAGCCAACATAGGAGTTGTCACACGCGCTTGACCTCAACGATTTTGATAATAAAAAAAAAAAAAAAAATAGAAAAAAAAATGACAATAACGACAATGCAAAAAAGGAAAGGAATATATTGCGTATGTAATAAAAATGATGAAACGATCCTGTTTAATTCCCCAAGAGAAACCCATCGTATATATAATAAAATTTTATAAATCCTGGTCAGGCGACATTTGACAACCTGAAATTGGTTTTCAAAGACTAACACGGACGATTTAATGACCAAAATTATCTCTCTGTAGGCGGAATTATTGTTGTTAGTTACTTTACAGAAACCTATCGATTTTGAAAAATATAATAGACATATTACTGACAAAAATCAACTATATATTTAATATATAATCAAAATATTTTAATGTTTGTGATGTAATTATAAGATGATTAACAGATAGATTTGTAATATCTTTTATATATGCCAAAACTTTAGTATAAATTTACACTTAATAATAATTTACGAAATAACACAATTAATGATAAATACTTTGAAATATGTTTTCAAGCCTTCAGAAATATTACCACAATATTTTATATATATATAAACACTATATGTAACAAATATACAGAAAGAAATATAAATATAATCAAATTATTTGCTTTATAACTTCACTCACTCAGTTATCATATTGATCGGTAAATTCAATTACTACTTTACCCTTCCGATTTAATAATCCAAGAGCTCTCGCACTGGTAATACCCTTACTATTCCGAGTTTAGTTGGTATTTCCAAGTCAATGGTGTCTTTATCACACTTTTTAATGATCATTTGTGTATCATCCTTAGTTCTCATTGCAATTAAAACTGTTTTAATAACTGTCTGAACAAAGAGGCCAAGTTTCGTGACAATTACTAAATTTTTTCTTAATTTCTGTTGGTCAGTCGCCTTTAGATGCATGTGAAGCAATTGTTTCCACACGTCCTCAGTTATAAATTCATCTAACTCACTATATGGTTCTTTTGCCCTATTAACTAATTAGTCAAGTAGAATTAATAGTAATAGTAATAATAATAATAATAATTAAATAATTTATAATGTTTTTATCATATTATCATTAAAACCTTTCGTGTGTTGTTTTAAATTCATTTGCGAGTTTTAAATGGCTACATAAAACTTATAGTGATAGGTATTAAACCATCCACCTACATCTTTAACTAAAGTTCCTATTCTCAGGTCAGTTTTGGCAATTTTACATACTCAGACAATAAGCTCTTCGTATAATGCTGTTGTATTATTTCTCGTTCGAAGGAAAAGTGCTTTACATTCTTCTTGTAATTGTAATTTAATATGCTAATTATAAAATAAATATTAGTATGATTTTTATTTTTGTTTTTGTTTTTTTTTTTGAATTTTTATGAAAAATCAACATTGTTTTTATTACCTGATCAATTTCCAGAGGTGTTGATACAGATTCATAGGAAAATCGTTGTGTTAAAGCATATGTAGATGTCGAAGCCATATCAGATTCTTTATTGATCCCATTTGCCATTCTATCTCTGATATTTATTGCTAAATCTAAAATTCTTTTGGGGTGAGCTAACCAATAAGCAATTTAAAACTCATTGGACATATTGTGAAATTGTGCCAGTTGCTTTGAATGTAAGTCAGCTTCAATTGAAATATCCCTAATTAACTGTTGTGTTTCTTCATAATCTTGTGTTGATCGCATTTCTCCAGGAGAATGTAAAATCATCGATGATTCTGTAGAATAAAGTGCAGTTGATGTATGATTGTTATTGAGTAATGATACAATGAAAGAGTTATTCTGTTGATTTTGATCCATAGTTTCATCATCTGATAAAACAAATGTAGTTGGACTTGCAGTTTCAACATCACTTAATAGAAAATCTGGTGATATTTCCTGACCAATTTTTTGTTTTTGATTTTTTTTCGTGTTATTTTTGCAGGATTTGTTTTTTGTGTCACTCTCATAGGAGTCGTACTTGAATCTGATGATATCCCCTGACTGTTTTTTTGTTTTTGATTTGTTTTTTATATTGCTTCTGCAGGAGTCGTACTTAAATTTGCTTTTCGTGTTCGTGTTTTTCTCAATGGAGCCTTTTTTGCCAGAGTAGTTTCATTGTTTAAAGCTGTAAGCAAGATTATGTGTAGTATTGATTAAAAACATGATGCTATAACAGGAACAAATATTAATGAATTTTTGTAACATATCCTCGTTCTCGTCAGACTGTTTCAATTCTATATTATAATAATAAAAGTTTTAAATAAATAGATAATATTTATTTAAGAATTTTTTAACTTGCCAAATTTCGTTTAGTCATATTAAAGTACAAACAAAAATTAGAAAAAGAAGTTTATTTAAATTTGAAAATAACGATCAATTAAATATGAAAAAAAAAAATCAATTAAAGAATTATCCAGATAATATTTAATCAATTAATCACAAAAGTCTTTAAATATTCTAATTTTAAATTAATCAATCATAAAATTCTTAAAAGTCTTAAAAAGTATTTATATCATAATTTTACATCAATCAATCGCAAAAGTCTTAAAAAGTCTTTACATTAATCAATCGCAAAAAATCTTTTATATCCTAAATTGGTTAATATTTTCTAATTCAAAAATCAATACCATAAATAAAGAAAATTCTGATAATTACAAATTATATAAGCAAACAATATTTTTTTTTCTTTACTGTTTACAGTATACAGTTTATTTAATATCTATGTAGTCAATTTATATTTTATTTTATCAGTTTTAATAAAAGTTTAATTATTATACTATAAAGCATAAGTATCATTTTTTCATTTTAAATCAATTGTTTTACTCGAAAAAAAAAATAATGAAACGCTCAAGAAGAATTTCTCATACATATTATGCATTGATTCTGAAGTTACATATTAGATCATCTAAAAAGATACAAAATGAAGAAGATAATGAATCTTCTATATCTTCTGATAATTCTTCAGAACATATTGATAATGTAGAAGGCGTTTCATATGATAATATTTCAGAATATATTAATACAGAAAGTGTTGCTTCGATGGAAGACGTCTTGTATGATAATATTTTAGAATATATTAATATAGAAAGTGTTACTTCGGCTATCAAAGAAGAACTGGAGGTAGAGAGCTCCAACAGTTATATCTCATCAGAAATAACGATAAATGAGATCAATTAATATATTTTAATATTATAAATCATAACGGATGTTATAGAAATTTTCAAAAATCCTAATAACATATATTTTATAATTTCAAGGATTTTGATGAGCAAATGCAGGACTACCAACTTCTGTATAAACTGTTACTTAATACTGAAAAAGAAGAATTTTTCGAAGATTATGATCTGTTAGAAGAAGAGTCTTCCAATTTAAAGGTTTCGATGGGGAATATGATCCATATTTTCCTAATTTTACATCAGCGATGCTCTTTATCTGGATTACCAAACATATGATATGTGGGTATTATTTTAAATGAATGAGTTTAAAATAATTAACATACTAACATAACAATTTATTCACATAGCAACCTCTGCATATAAAGATCTCTTTAAGATTCTCACTCATCCTGAATATCAAAAAGAGAATCTTACTGCAAATATTCGCCAGATTCATAAATGGCGAGATAGACTACTATTAGTTAAAGTATGCAAACATAAAGTACCCCTTTGTATACAATGAACACTGAAACCGTGATCCGTGACCGCACTACGGATAAGTCATGTGATCAAAATGATCGACGTAGTTGACAAAGTTGACGAAGTTGACAGAGTTGCTAAAGTTGTCAACGTTGGTCAAGTGGATATATTAGATATATTTATCATATTTATCATATTGACCAATTCTGTTATATTTGTTATATTTGTTATATTTGTCATAGTTGATTTTTATATTATTTTATTTTATATAAATATCTTGTATTTT